AATATGACTTTTAGGGCAGATGTTTTTAGACTGAAACTTCTTTAGATGGATTAGCACTGTCCTCTTTCCAGTTCCCAGTGCTTGTGCCTACATTTCTTGCAAAAGCTCAGATTGTCTTCTGAGTCCTATAAAGAGCATAATGCTTTGCTATATGGAGTCCCATTAGTTTTTCTCCATAGGTCTTTTAAGAACCAAGTAAAACAAGTGTGTTGTATTGACAGAAAGAGATTTTGACTATTGAATGTGCATCCAATAGTGATTTGAGATCTTTATTCTTCCAGTACAATGGTGCAGACACTGAAGTATGTGTATCAACAACATGGAATACGAAGAGGATTGTACCGTGGTTTATCTCTGAATTATATTCGTTGTATTCCTTCCCAGGCTGTGGCTTTTACCACATATGAACTTATGAAACAATTCTTGCACCTCAACTAATTTTTTTAAAAGACTTTCCTGTAAAAAAACCCTACACTATCAGTCCTCAAATTATATTGGTAAGTGAATTACTTGAAGTTAAAAAAAACCACCTATCTGCTTCTGTGGAAATGCTCTTGTCTGATGTTTTTATTTGCCAAAAAGGGGTTAATTTCCTGGAGTCAACCCAGGAGACAGATCAAAATAAACGTTAGCTATAAACACTTTTTTGCACTTGATCTTGTAGGCTTTATTAATGTTAAGAATTGCACAGTTTTAGAATCACACCCACGTTTTGTATGGGCTTCAAGCTGTTAGTTGTTTAGCTTTATCACCATTTCAGGAGTTACGCACATGGTTCCATTGCTTTTTCAGGTAGTAGCTGGACATCTGTTCTACTTTAAATTGCATAAAATGATTTGAACAAAATGCAGTGATTTTCACATTCAGATACTTGCCAGCTCTGTAGAAGCTGAACTCAGCAGGGCCTAACTTAAGCATCTTTCACTTTTTTTGTACAAATTTTCTGTGTGCAAGAACAATGCCTCGATCTCCAGATGGGTACATGTGAAAGTCTCTTCAACTGTATCAATAAAAAAATTACAAGATGTATGTAACGTTATTTGAAATCTTTCAGTATGGAAACTAGTTACTTGTCATACATGCTATTCTAAGAAATGCTGCTGCATTTACTTATTTAGGTATATGGACCATGATCAACCTCTGGAGCAAGAAAAATCAAATGAACGTTGTGTTGGATAGAATCTGTTGATGTGTATGTACTGTTTCTAAAGTATGGGATGAAACAGACTCACGTTTTCCTCCTACAATTCCTTTTGCAGAGAGAATTCTTTTCCAGCCTTGTTTTATATATGATTTGCATTGGTACTCTTGATTTTACTCACTTGAGTCATAAAACTGTAAAGCCTTTAAGTGATATAAGTTATTTATTTATTGTAAATATTTTATCTTTTAAGAACTGGTAATGGTTATGTGAAGTGGTGGATGGCAAGACTGGTTAATTTTGACAAATTTGACAAGCTGGATTTTGAGTTATATCCAATACCAATTTTTGTGGTTCAATTTTTTTCCAGTTTCTTAAAATTGTGCATTTTGATATTTAACAATGTAGTGATGGACAGAAAATGAGATGTATTTGAATTTATTTTATTAAAATTTTTGAACTAGTGTCTTTGTGTGATTTGTCCTGGCAACAAATTTAAATTCACTCAATTAAGAAAAGAGATGTCATTTTTCTTTCCTGCATGGTTTTGCTGTATGAGCAAACAAGCATCTCTTCCAGTGCCAGTTCTTTGCCATATCAATATTGTTAATGATGCTTAAATTTAGAGGTTTATATCTTAGTTTTACTGGAAGTGATATACTTGAGGAATTCAAATAGGTTTGAGCTGTGTCATAGAAAGTTACACAGGTCTTAAGCACAATAAAGCTGAATCCAAGTGTTGAAATGTTGAAAATCTCAGTCTCAGGGCAGATTTGTTTCCAGTGATTAAACCTTGTGTCACTAAAATAAACCTTATACTTCATATTTGCGTTCTTACAATAGAAAATTTTGCCTGCTGTAACTAAGGCATTTATGGATGACCAATATTGCAGTTTGCAGTCAGTGCACAAAAAAATTAATGTGTTTGAACCTTTTTTACACTGATTAATTCCCATGTCTCTTTATTGTTTTGTTACAAATATTCTCCATGTTTTTTGTTGCTTGTTTAAGTGAGCTGAGACCTCAGGGTGGACAAATCTATTGATGCTTTTCAAATCCTCCCCTCCTTCCTGGAGAAAGGAGCATGCAAGGCACTTGTTATAAGCTGTCTTTGGCATTTACAACTCAAAAAAACTACTCCAGGTTCCCCTCAGACTTACCTGATTAAATTTGTAGCCTAAAAAATATGTGCAACATCTTAACTCTGTTTGTTACAGGATTGGAGGGAAAAAATTGTGTTATTTTTTTGACAAATTCCTGAACATACAGAGTTCAAACTTGAAGAAAGCTGATGCACTGTAATTTTAAGAAAATTAAAAGAGCCATCATCTGAACACCTGAATGCAACTTTTAGTACTGAAATAAGGCTTGGTATTTTTTTGAGTTTCACAGACTCTTTGTAGAGATGCCCCAGACTGCTTGGATTTTCGCTAACTTCCAAAAAATTTAAAGTTTTTATTTTTATAGCCATATTCTGTCAATATATTTATTTCTTAGTGCATGAGAGATGGATAGGCAACATGAGACTACAGAATACAAGGTTATCAAGTGTACAAAGTAAAATTATGTTCTAATCTGTTCTAATAACAAATTATGTGACTGCATTTAATGGTATCAATGCATAAATATCACATTTCAAGTAAGCTCACATTAGAGGTTCTGCAATGGGAAGCAACATCAATGTAGTTGACTTCATGTATCTCAGGGCTATCTCAAAGAAAACAAAAGGGGCTAATTGAAGTATGTTCTCACCTTTTAAAATAAAAGCTTTGATGCTTCTGATGAATTGTTTAACTGGAGCTTTGTGCTGTTTCCCAATGCTTGGCTACAGGAAAGAGATACAAGACCAAACTTAATGCAGAAATTTCCTGATATTTGAACTGCACAATAGTCATACTGATGTACTAGGAGTAGATTTAATACCTGTGACCTCCAACCTTGGCTAGAAGTGATGGTTTTGCACCCAAATGCTTTGATGAAGTGGTTTTGTGGCCAAAAAAATGTGAAGAAAGGAAACGGGTGTACCTGAAACTTTGTGTGTTGCCTCATAAAGACTTTCTCTGTCAGTGAGCGGCTTCACGTGCGAGAAGCTCACCAGAGGAAAAGTTCGCTGCTGGGGCTGAGATGTACCCGTGTGCAGTGGGGAGCGGGAGCCACAGGCAACTACCTGTGGGGGCAGCGGGGGGACGCGGGGG